CGGGCGGTACAAGTGTGGCGAGAGAGAAAGTAAATCTGACCTTGCATCTGCGTGCTTCACTGCAAATGTCGTCGATAGAAAATAGTCATCTGCCGGCCTTCTTTCGAGCATAGCTTCGCATTTTCAGCGCAGCCTAAGAGACAATAGGATCTTTAGAATTACATATCTATATATTTTCTAGTAACACCACATGCCACTTAATACTTAATAATGTTGCGCCTCATGTATGCATCATATTTGCGTTTTGATCGACAATGTTCACAAGATCATTACCATCAGTTCAAGATGGCTGGGCGTTCAGCAAATGTCTAATTTTTGGCTGGGTGGCCGATTCGTGTGATAGACAGACAGACAGACAGACAGACAGACAGACAGACAGACAGACAGACAGACAGACAGACAGACAGACAGACAGACAGACAGACAGACAGACAGACAGACAGACAGACAGACAGACAGACGGATGAACGGACGGGCGGACAGATGGACGGACAGACGGACCGATGGAGGGACGGAAGGACAGACGGATGACGGATAGACGGACGGACAGACGGATGGACGGACAGACGGACGGACGGATGGACGGACCTAAGTGCCTGCGTTCAAGTATCCCAAGAAAGACTATCACCTTTAATACTTTACTTGCGGAACGCTCAGTCCATGGCCTTCACGATGACGTCTGTGACGTCCAATGCCCGGTGGGCAAGCTAGATCCAGAAATCATGTTAAGAAATGAGGAAGTAACGCCGGTATTCGCAAACCTACGTTATACTCATTTCATGGATAGATGACAAAGAGAGAGGACCAAAAAAAAGAGAAGGAAATAACCAATCAGTGCGCTGATACGTATGTGGCGGTGACACTGCACAATAGTCCCAGACGTTTTAGGGTACATAAAAATGGTAACAGCGTAAAACACTGTAGGCAATGGTTGCTCTCGTTAACATTCGTTAACATCGCCCTATAGATCCATATATGTGATTCTTGAATGCGTTGCTTTGCCCCGCCACGGTGGTCTAGTGGCTAAGGTACTCGGCTGCTGACCCGTAGGTCGCGGGATCAAATCCCGGCTGTGGCGGCTGCATTTCCGATGGAGGCGGAAATGTTGTAGGCCCGTGTACTCAGATTTGGGTGCACGTTAAAGAACCCCAGGTGATCGAAATTTCCGGAGCCCTCCACTACGGCGTCTCTCATAATCATATGGTGGTTTTGGGACGTTAAACCCCACAAATCAATCAATGAATGCGTTGCTTTGAAATGTTATGTCCAAACTCTTATGCTAAATTTTATATCGTATAGGCTCTGGACTTGTTACGTCTGGAGACTTGGACCCTATGTTCTCTATGTTAGCCAATGCCAAATTTGTGCATGAACATCTTTTTACATTGCATGGCAAGATTGATTTGTGCATGGTTTTTTTAATACAGGCATCATATATTTATTGAACGTTCTAAAGGCGCTAAACCAATAATGCAAAACGAGAGCTGAAGAAAAAAAAAAGGTAGGTTTGTGAAAGCGGGCCTGAGAGATGTAATTCACAAGAGTGGAAGGTTGGGCTAGTTGGCTTGTAGTTATATTTGCAAGTTTGTTCAGCGCGGTAACATATTAAACAACGGGACAGGGTAGACATAAAGAGCGCTGTAAAAGACAAACAGCGTTCTTTCTGTCCACCCTGTTCCTCTTTTCCTCGGAGCTTCTCGCAGCACGATTCTCCGTGTCTCCGAGAAGTAAATGACATTTAGGAACTTGAACACTGTATAAGCTGTGTTCCCCATCCCGATAGAACACTGAGCTACACCGAGATATACTATAATGAGAGAGATAAGAAAATTAGAAGGAAATGCAGGGAGGGTAACCAAGCTTTGAATCGGTTTACTACACCACACTTGGGGTGGGGAAAGGGAGATAACACAGAGGAAATAGATAGAGAAAAAGAAGAAGTGTGGGAAATAGATCGATAAATAGTCAGCTCCAGACTACACAGCACGGCTTCGCAATGTTCGTTCACAAGCGATCGTGCAGTCCTCAAGAAGCACAAGAGTGCTTTCGTGGCCATGCGCGCATGCGAGACAGTCGGCCAAGGCCCCAGAATCGTCTGCATCAATGGGATTCATACTTATTGTAAGGTGGTGGCAGAATTGAACATTTATGAGTCATTTGCGATCACTGGAAATAACTGATCGTTCATTTTTTCTCGTTTTATTCTTCGTAAATGGTAATATAGGTGAGTAGTAGATATAGTGTCATTGGTGAACGCGACGAAGTGCTATATTTTGATTCTGTGAAACGGTAACAATATGGGAAGTATAGAGGTGACGTTTAGCATGCTTAAGTATTGTTCAAACATTTGGGGTAAAGTACTTATTCAAGAGCTTCATACTCAGTTATGCGGCTCGTTATGTACCAACAGTCTTGACACACAAGTAGAGAGAAATTTCCGGCCCAGATTTCCCGGCTGTCTCCACCGGCAGCCATATTCAGGAGTTTTTCTGGGGGTGTTTATCTGTAGAAGGGCTAACTTTAGGCACTGGTGATCGTTGTGAAGGTATGCAAATACATAAGTGTCACCCGAAAAGGTAAAGCATGAAGAAACTTCGGAGAGTTTCAGAACCCTCTCAACTCCCCCCTTGTTGCGGACCTGGAGCTAAGCAAGCCTAGAGCAAGCAGCAAGCCAACCAAAATGTATTGTTTCGTTCATTGCCACAAATTCATTACCATGACAACAATAGCATTTAATACTTTCCCTCGAATGTCCCTGTAGTCTTTCATGGCCTCAGTTATAGTCAGGGCGGTGCCCACGGATGACTCGGTGATCATGTTGTGCCCACAAGTGTGACCTATAACGGGAAAGGCATCGTACTTGCACAGCAAGGCCACGCAGGCACCTGCTTATACAGATAAGATAACAGAACGAGATAAGGCACGAAGTGGAATGCGTCAACTTAGAAAAGAGTGATAACATAGGGCGAGTTGCTGCGTCCGTCTGAATTACTCGAACTGGCTTAGAAGCTGACAGTACCTTTATTTTTATGTCAATGATTATGTGGCCGATATCTTAGCGAGAGGAGAAGGCGAAGGAACCCTCTTAAGGCTCCTTCATATTTTCTATGCCTTTTCTTCACAATTTTTTTCGCTGAAAGGCTCTTTCTTAGCTTAATTATTGTTGTACGTTGTGAGCACGATCCGCGCATGTATTTAACCATGGAATCGTGTTTTTTTACGGTGTTTTTTATTTCCGAGATTTAATGTACTTTTTCTGAAAAAAACTATCCGACCGGTCATACTCGGGCTTTGTCAGGGAACACACAAGTCCTTTCAAAACAGCATGAACTTACAAGTTTGAAAAGCTTTTTAAATTAAGATTAGGAAAAAGAAAAAAAAAGCTATTGATTAGAAAGTCTCTCACGACACGAGACAAGTGAGGACAATATTTTCTTTCTCGTGAGGTAAATCTGAGAACCTTCTTTTATATGTAGGGAATAATACCCAACATTTTTAGTGAAAGTGCCAGCTTCTCACGGTGTTGCTCTTTTCCGTTTTTTGAGAAAAGGTACGTTTAATTTCGGGCTGCTGCCTGGAATGTGGTACTGTCGAGATGCAAGTAACGAAAGCTGCGAGGTAAAAACGCACTGACTGAACGCCACAAGCTCTCTTACTGAGCACGCAAAATTTAACAACTAATTACGGTAACGTTCCTGAGATTTAAAGCTGAAACCAGGAAATTGTGTTTACACTGCGTTGATGTGTGTTTAAGGCTCCTCCCCCTTGTACACAGGATCTTCCGATAATAGAACATTGGTCCGAGCTGCTCTCATAGCTTCGTATTTCTGTGCAGCTGATTGTCAGAACGCTTGAGAATGCTGTTCGATGAAAGTAAACAAAACAGGTGCCTCAGTTGGAGGTTCCGTTGTAATATTTACTTGTTTTCGTCAGCGCATGCAATGGCTCGTACTCCCGTGCACTGCCTGGAGACATTTTCTGTGGTTGCACGGATAATAGCGAGTATTGCGCATTCACTCGACCGCTTCGACAGTGGTAGCCTGAGAACAGCTGGTCCGCACACATAATGGCAACGCTGTGTCCTTTATGCCGGGTACCAACACAGCCACGAATAAGTTTAAGCTCATTTTTTAGTATATTTAGCATTCTTTTTCAACAACATTGTTAATGTACGCGATCATTCAATATTTTCAAACAATTATAATAGTCAACAGAAAAACAGTAAAGCCCGAAGAAGCGTAGTTGATTATCAGCACTTTAGCAATTAGTTTTTTCAAGTTATGTGATATGCCGCAAGCCTGAGAAAAAGTTCCCTTGCTCTAAACACAGAGAGTGGTTGCACTATTGAACTGTTTTGCCCTTACCAATGTTGAGGGTATCTATGTAGGTGAGCTCTCGAGGTGATGGCATAGGTTTTAACGGTGTCTGCTAGGGACAATATAGTTCCTAATACGTTATAACTTGTTAGAAATTAGCCTGAAACCTAACGTTGGAAGCTTCGAGAAATTTATGAGCCAACATGTGGTTTAAAACTTGTGCCTGGAAGGACCAGCAGGACTCTAACACGTGTTGTGGGCTTGTAGTATAGTTGCCAGAATGATAGCAGTTGCTACGGGGACCATGTCGTAAAGGTGGGCCGCTGCACTGGGCAGCCCATAACTCGTCATCCAAACGTGGCCAGTCCAGCCAGCCCGCGAGGTGGTGTTGAAGCAAGACCTTGGCGTTCCATCGTGAGACACTTGAGCCCAGGTCACATTAAACCTTGCCGAAAGTTCAATGAAGTTGTCAAGTATTTCATATGTGGCCAGTATACGAGAGGCAAAAAAAAAGAAGACAAGTTTCAGATACATGACGTCACATTAGGCAACATTTTGAAAAAAGGTCTTGTCACCTTGACAAGCTGTCCTGCAACCGCATTGGAGCAACCAGAGCAAAGGGGGGAGGGGGTTCCTTTTCTTTTTTCAGCGACCGAAAAATTTCTGGCTACGCTTCAGTGTTGTCATCTTCAAGTCAGAATCAGAATAAATTTTATTGTAATTAGTGTCAAGGTTACATAGTGATAATATACTTTAAAAAGGCACCAAAGTGAAAGACTGCAACGCCAACTCGCCTGTCCACAGGGGAGTCGGAGAGTTAGCATTTGGGCCCCTGGACAAGAGCTGGACAAGAGTCGAAACATTCATTCTCCAACTGCTTTTGTCTGAGAATTTTTTACGGCATCACATTGACATTCGGGTTGAGAGGTTTCAGCATGAAATTCGGCGAAGACACCTGGACCGTAGCTTTTGTTTTTATTAATAACCATATTATGATGAAATTAACTCTAGATGAGTCTTCAAAGAGTAACTTATATATCTAAATATATTGACTGCTCTACTTTTAAAGTGCGTAGTGTTTGAGTTAATTACATTACAGCCTGTAGCTCTTTTTCCCGCGGTAGTTTCAGGGCGGCAAACTCCCGCCTGGCTTCGCTCAGTAGCTCGGCGTTCCTGAGCAGATCGAGCGCCGTCAGTGCGAGGACCTTGGCCACCAGCAAAGTGGGCTGCTGCGAGTCCGCAGCGTTGGCTACGGCGGCGAAGCCTCGCGTATGGTTGGCTGAACCAGTGTCGACGTGGATGCGGAACATCGGGTGTATTGCCGGCACCCGGTACGACACATTGCCGCAGTCAGTGGCACCTCCCAGGGGTGTCAGGTTCTTCTCCACGTCGTCCATGAAGGTCATGCCTGTTGTGTAGAAGGAATAGAGGGAAGCGGGGTGTAGTTTAATAGGATACATACATACATACATACATACATACATACATACATACATACATACATACATACATACATACATACATACATACATACATACATACATACATACATACATACATACATACATACATACATACATACATACATACATACATACATACATACATACATACATACATATATACATACGTGCATACATACATACATACATACGTACGTACATACATACGTACATACGTACATACATACATACATACATACATACATACATACATACATACATACATACATACATACATACATACATACATATATACATACGTGCATACATACATACATACGTACGTACATACATACGTACATACGTACATACATACATACGTACATACATACATACATACATACATACATACATACATACATACATACATACATACATACATACATACATACATACATACATACATACATACATACTGTCAGAATGCCTTTGGTTTGTCAAGAAATAATTTGCATGTCACAGCATAAGGACGGGCTAAATGGCAACTTAGAAGCTCTTGTCCCATCAGAGAAATGGGATATTCGAAGCTGGGCTTGAGCGTACCTGACGTACTTTTCTTTCTTTCTTTCCTTCTTTCTTTCTTTCTTTCTTTCTTTCTTTCTTTCTTTCTTTCTTTCTTTCTTTCTCTGAAAAGAGTCTACAAGAGGTGGCGTACCAAAGGCGTGGCCGTGCTTCCGGTAGGTCTCCGCGATGGCGGCGTTGTGGACGACGTTCATGTACGCCGTCTTCCTTTCCAACTCCAGGGAACAGCCCGTGGCGTCTGCGGCAGCCCGGAAGCAGGCCTCCACTCTCCGCCGGAGCTCGATCAGTTCCTCGGCGTTCACAGCCCGGACACTGAAGGACATCTCCGTCATCTCGGGGATCACGTTCGGGTATTTGCCGCCCTCGGTGATCACACCTGCAAATCGTCCGATGCGTAAACGCTTTGCGTGCTTTTAACATCGTGAGCATCGCGAAAGAGGGACAATTTAAAAATAAATATGGTTGATCTCTTCATCGTATGAATCCGTACAACACGAAAGTAAAACGAGTCCTTACATGCATATATGTATATATATATATATATATATATATATATATATATATATATATATATATATATACCGGAAGCACGGCCATGCCTTTGGTACGAGACCCCTTGTAGACTCTATTCAGTGAAAGAAAGAAAGAAAGAAAGAAAGAAAGAAAGAAAAGTACGTCAGGTACGCTCAAGCCCAGCTTCGAATATCCCATTTCTCTGATGGGACAAGAGCTTCTAAGTTGCCATATAGCCCGTCCTTATGCTGTGACATGCAAAGTATTTCTTGACAAACCAAAGGCATTCTGACAGTATGTATGTATGTATGTATGTATGTATGTATGTATGTATGTATGTATGTATGTATGTATGTATGTATGTATGTATGTATGTATGTATGTATGTACGTATGTACGTATGTAATAGCTCAGTGGTTATAGTGGTAATAGCTCAGTGGTTAGAGCATCGAACGCGTAATTCGAAGGTCGTAGGTTCGATTCCTGATCACAGTTGGTAATTTTTTCATCCACTTTTCTTTCTTCTTTCTTCTTATTTACATTCCATTGGTTCTAATAACTTCCCCTGTACATTCCTTGGCATTACTGTCTGTTATATCTCATTAATATTGTGTTAAAACACGAAAAAACGAGCCCTTAGGTATACACTTCTTTCCCTTATTTCATTGAACGAGGGTCTCGTACTGGCAGACTTGGTGTGTTTAGGTTGTATAAGAGGGACAATTAATCAGCTGCCCGCTCATAATAAGTTCACGTGCTACGTGACGCCAAACATGCGCATAAGAGTGTTTTCACACTCGTTGTTTCGCTTATAGATGGCGCTGACTTTCGCTCCTACTTCTAAATTCACAGATAGACCCAAAACAGTGGATGGAGGGAGGGCCGCTGTAATAGCTCAGTGGTTAGAGCATCGAACGCGTAATTCGAAGGTCGTAGGTTTGATTCCTGCTCACAGTTGGTAATTTTTTCATCCACTTTTCTTTCTTCTTTCTTTTTATTTACATTCCATTGGTACTAATAACTTCCCGTGTACATTCCTTGGCATTACTGTCTGTTATATCTCATTAATATTGTGTTAAAACACGAAAAAACGAGCCCTTAGGTATACACTTCTTTCCCTTATTTCATTGAACGAGGGTCTCGTACTGGCAGACTTGGTGTGTTTAGGTTGTATAAGAAGGGACAATTATCAGCTGCCCGCTCATAATAAGTTCACGTGCTACGTGACGCCAAACATGCGCATAAGAGTGTTTTCACACTCGTTGTTTCGCTTATAGATGGCGCTGACTTTCGCTCCTACTTCTAAATTCACAGATAGACCCAAAACAGTGGATGGAGGGAGGGCCGCTGTAATAGCTCAGTGGTTAGAGCATCGAACGCGTAATTCGAAGGTCGTAGGTTTGATTCCTGCTCACAGTTGGTAATTTTTTCATCCACTTTTCTTTCTTCTTTCTTCTTATTTACATTCCATTGGTACTAATAACTTCCCCTGTACATTCCTTGGCATTACTGTCTGTTATATCTCATTATATTGTGTTAAAACACGAAAAAACGAGCCCTTAGGTATACACTTCTTTCCCTTATTTCATTGAACGAGGGTCTCGTACTGGCAGACTTGGTGTGTTTAGGTTGTATAAGAGGGACAATTAATCAGCTGCCCGCTCATAATAAGTTCACGTGCTACGTGACGCCAAACATGCGCATAAGAGTGTTTTCACACTCGTTGTTTGGCTTATAGATGGCGCTGACTGTCGCTCTTACTTCTAAATTCACAGATAAACCCAAAAAAGTGGATGGAGGGAGGGCCGCTGTAATAGCTCAGTGGTTAGAGCATCGAACGCGTAATTCGAAGGTCGTAGGTTCGATTCCTGCTCACAGTTGGTAATTTTTTCATCCACTTTTCTTTCTTCTTTCTTCTTATTTACATTCCATTGGTTCTAATAACTTCCCCTGTACATTCCTTGGCATTACTGTCTGTTATATCTCATTATATTGTGTTAAAACACGAAAAAACGAGCCCTTAGGTATACACCTCTTTCCCTTATTTCATTGAACGAGGGTCTCGTACTGGCAGACTTGGTGTGTTTAGGTTGTATAAGAGGGACAATTAATCAGCTGCCCGCTCATAATAAGTTCACGTGCTACGTGACGCCAAACATGCGCATAAGAGTGTTTTCACACTCGTTGTTTGGTTTATAGATGGCGCTGACTGTCGCTCCTACTTCTAAATTCACAGATAAACCCAAAAAAGTGGATGGAGGGAGGGCCGCTGTAATAGCTCAGTGGTTAGAGCATCGAACGCGTAATTCGAAGGTCGTAGGTTCGATTCCTGCTCACAGTTGTTAATTTTTTCATCCACTTTTCTTTCTTCTTTCTTCTTATTTACATTCCATTGGTTCTAATAACTTCCCCTGTACATTCCTTGGCATTACTGTCTGTTATATCTCATTAATATTGTGTTAAAACATGAAAAAACGAGCCCTTAGGTATACACTTCTTTCCCTTATATATAATATATATATATATATATATATATATATATATATATATATATATATATATATATATGTATATATATGTATTTACTGTGCATTGATTTAAGAGAGATAGTAGAATGTCTGTTGGTATTTGACAGCATTAGCACCAGTTAACGTAGATGCACCCTCCACGATGCTAAGTGATACATCTACATGCCGACGACCAACCTCCAGGATTAATGTTTAAAAAATCCTTGTGCTGTGGCAGCTGTAGTAGTTAACGGTGTAAGCGGAATCAGACAACGTGGTGTGACTCCCAAAAGACCGTGACTGATTGGACGCCGAACTTAGGCTAAGTTATCCTTCTCCCGGCCGGGGAGCCCCGCTTCAAAAGGTGCCGAGTCGGCCTTAGGGCATGTGGGCCTGTCCACGCGCTACCTCCACAGTCACTACGCCCGTTGTTGCGTAGCCACCCCCGAATCCCACCGATGCCACCACTGTTGCGAACGACGGACCGATCCCACCGCTGCCACCACTGTTGCGAACGACGGACCGATCCCGCCGAAGCCACCACTGTTGCGAAAGACGGCGACGCCAACACGGCCCCGGAGGCGCCACTGCTTTCAACTCCGCCGGGAAGGTCACCAGCCGTTTGGTAGCGTATGTTTATCAGCTCGCGACTGCTTCTGCGCAGAGCCGATAAGACGAGCGGACGAGACGACGGTGAGTTAAACAAGGTTTATGTACAGCATATTTACAGAGGCGTTACAATTTCGGCACTGGGGCCGACAGAGACTCGAAGAGCCGAGCTCTCCTCTCTAACACATAGATCAGCCTTTCGCCTAAGACCGCTGACTCACACACATGTCGGCTCTCCGACACGGGGACTCCCTTCTCGTAGGACCGCCGATCGCGACGCGCCGCAGGGCTTCTTTTATTTACACCGGGTCCAACCAAAATGTCCAATCAGAAGCGCCGCTGGTCGTCAGGGCAGATTCCGCCAATGGGGGTCGCCGCGCCATGCGTCAGACTACCAGACACGCGGACGCCGGCTCGCTGTCACGCGCGCAGCTGACTCAACGCACGTGGGCCAGGGAGGCGCCGCGCGTGTTCACTCCGTCGAGTTGATCGCGCCAGGCGACTGCGGGCTGGCCTTGACCCAGATTGCCTTTTTCAGAGGCACGGTCGTTTGACGAGGACTCGCTGGCATAACAGCACCCCCGCCGCCAGACAATGCACCGGAAAGACGAGCTGCTTCCACGGGGCTCGGATGTCAGGTGCGCTCGTTCGCCAGGTCCCTCCAGGTTCGCCTCCAGGGCCATGGGGAGAATACAGCTCCAGACTGTTCCGGGAACACATCCCATTTTTGACGACGGATCCCAGCTCCACTGGCTTGTCGCCACAACTTGTCGACCAGCTTCACTCGCCTCTTCTGACCATCTTCGGTTTCAGCACTTGTCGATGGTTCTGCAACTTGCCAAGAACGGTTCGACAACAGACAACACACGACACAAGCAAGTGCCCTCGGTCACCCAACAGAACACCAGACAAAGTATAGTACAACATATACCTATCTACGTGTCTATCGGAATTTTGTTCCCTCTACATCAAGAGGCACATGTGGGACACAAGACTCTTAAAATGACAACTCCAATTTTTTTTTCCACGTACAACAACGTAACGAATTAGAATACCACAAAGTTGGCCCCTTGAGATCACTCTGAACGAGAGCGCTCAGCCCAGGTCGTGATGAGGTCAAAATTTTGCCCCGAATCGCCAGCCAGAAACCGAAAGGTTGAGAAGTTACTAGCTGGAACGCACTGCTCAATGCACCTGCATTAGCGTTTACCTTTCCTTTATTTTTTTGATAGCGAACGTCAAAGTTGCGCTGTGGAGCAACATGCTCCACTTCAGTAACCGGCCACGTTTAGGCGACGATACCTATGCGGCACCAAGAGTGGCTCACACTTGCGACGTTGCACAGGGGAACACCGATACGGCTTGCTACGGATTGACTCCTCACCGCTTAGCTCGATATCGTGTTCGATCACCCTCATGTTTCCGGGGCGGTCCGAAAACACGTCTTCAAACTCGGAACCAATCTTTCTCAGGTCCTCTTTCTCAGGTCCTCCTTCACTTAAGCTAGGCTCTAGGTTTATCTGCTCCCGGATTACTTTCGATCCCCCTTCAATTACCTCACTAGAACTCAAAATTTCTGCTTCCTCTTCCTTTGAAGCATTCAACAACAGATTTACGACCGCTTGATGTTGAACGTATGGTTTCATCAAGTTGTAAATTTTGTCCGGCCGCCTTCCTAATTTCACTTCATAATTTGTATCGCAAGGCTTCGATAATACTTTGGCGGGCCCTTCCCAATCAACCTCTAGCTTGTTCTTTTTGAACGGCTGCGGCAGCATTACCTGACTCCCTACTTCAAAGGCACGCTTCTTCACCGATTCCTCGTAGTGCTCCTTCGACAGCACTTTTGCCGCGTTTTTCTGGCTTTCCACTAGCGCTTCAATTTGGCTTTCCACTAGCGCTTCAATTTGGCTTTCCACTAGCGCTTCAATTTGGCTTTCCACTAGCGCTTCAATTTGGCTTTCCACTAGCGCTTCAATTTGGCTTTCCACTAGCGCTTCAATTTGGCTTTCCACTAGCGCTTCAATAGAGAGATCCTCACTCTGCTCTCGAATGAGCGTCTCTCGATCAACTCTCGGCAGCTCGCTCCAACTTTCCGCTACAGGCGAGAGCGTTGCAGCCCTCTCGCTCTGACTCAATGGCGCCATGTCGTCTCCCCTTTCTCCGGAAACCGCGCCGGTCGTGTCGGCGACGGGCCGCTCGCGTGACTGCTCACATGACTCATGCGGAAACTTTCCTTTCTGGGGTTCCGTCGACCCGCCGACAAGGTCACTTGAGAGTTCACCGCATGGAACCAGGTCCAGCTTCCGCGAAAGCTTTCGCGCTTGCGATCGCGTGAGGGCCATGCACGCAAAGCTGGGGAAGAACGATTTGCCCTGCTCTTTGAGGAGCTGCTCCGAGTTGTTGGAGAAAAGATAAGGAAAACGATCGTTCAGCGCGGCAGACACAGCCGCTTCGGTGCGAAGCTTACCGAACGGGCCTTCAATGACAACCGTGGCGATTGGTAAGCGAACACTCTGCTCCTCGGCGACTTGCCTGATCCACGCGCATTCTCCTGTGAAGTCATCCGGAGACACCAATGAAGGATGGACAACGTCCATGGTTGCCGCTGAGTCTCTAAGTGCTCGGCACGTTTTCTCATTCACCCTAATTTCTTGGAGATACGGCTCCAACAACCGAATGTTTTTTTCTGATTCTCGGATCGTTGCGAAAGCAAACTTTTCCTGACAGTTTCTCGCGATGTGTCCTTCCTTTTTGCAGTTGTAGCAGATTAGCGGCTTCCGTTTGTTTTCCGATTCAAATGCCTGTGTGGTAGAAACCTCACTCGATTTCTCCGCTTCTGTTTGCCCTTCCCCTACACTGTCCTTCGTAAGAGACGGGTCCTTCTTGAAATTACGGTGCGGAGCGGGTCTCCGTTGATCAGGTTTCTTTGAAAAGCCCTCTTTTCTCTCATCCTTTTCAACGCGCACTGCCCTGCTGTGCAACTTTCGGCGAGTATAATACTCCTCAGCTAACTCAGCTGCCTTATTTAACTGTACTTCCCCAAGTCTGTCCTGCAGCCAAAGTCTGGCATTATCCTCGATGCAGCGGTAGAATTGCTCCAATGCAACGCATTCCACCACTTTATCGCGGTCGTCATAAACACCTTCGCCCTTGAGCCATTCAATTAAATCGGCTTTAAGACGAAACGCGAAGTCAACGTGTGACTCATTCCCCTTTTCAGCATACCGGAACCTTTGCCTGAAAGCCTCGGGTGACAACTTATAACGTCTCAAGAGCACTTCCTTAACCTCGTCATAGCTCTCAAACGCTTCCCTAGACAAGCAAGTTATCGCGTCGGACACTTCGCCGGGAAGAAGAGCTAGCAGGTTCCGCGCCCAAAGAGGCCGCTCCAAAGCGTTTCGCTCACAGACGTGTTCAAACTTGACGAGATACTTCGCCATGTCCTCGCCTATTACGAACGGTGGCAATTGATCCCGAATTCTAATACCGCTGACCTGAATCGTCGGAGAAGCTACGCTAGGCGCCTGCGAACACTGTAGGATTGCCAATTCTAGTCGTTTCAACTCTAGGCGCTCTTGTCTCTCGGCCTCCTCGCGACGTTCGCGCCTTTCAGCTTCTTCGCGTTCGCGAGCCTCGCGCCTTTCAGCTTCTTCGCGAGCTTCGCGCCTTTCAGCCTCCTCACGTTCGCGAGCTTCTCACCTTTCTTCACGTTCGCGAGCTTCTCGCCTTTCAGCTTCCTTACGTTCGCGAGCTTCTACTTCTCGCCTTTCAGCCTCCTCACGGCGTGCTTTAATATCCACCCAGGCCTCATCGACTTCCTCAGCCGACACTCCCTCATCCTTCATGATCTCAAGGATCGCTTGCTTTCGTTTCGCACGGCTCAAAGTAATGCCGAGTTCCTCACAAATTTCGATGAGTTCCTTCACTTTAAGGTTCTCCATCGTTCACACTAGCCTCTTGCTGTTTGCCCCTGTTAACAATTTACTTGCCGTACCCACTATAAGTCAACTAGCAAGACGCGCAAGCAATTTTTCACTCTCCCGTGTTTACCACCTCCGCATTAACTTTGGTTTCAAAGCACTTCAACTTGGCTTGAAACGATCAAAGCTCACTCGAATGCTTCACACAGCCCTTCTCTAAACTACTACAACCTGAGCTAGAGTAGTCTGGTGAACTGAGGGGAAAACATCAGGCACTCACCGCATCGATGTCGCTGACGCCGGCCGATCCCGCAGCTGCCAACCACTGTTGCGTAGCCACCCCCGAATCCCACCGATGCCACCACTGTTGCGAACGACGGACCGATCCCACCGCTGCCACCACTGTTGCGAAAGACGGCGACGCCAACACGGCCCCGGAGGCGCCACTGCTTTCAACTCCGCCGGGAAGGTCACCAGCCGTTTGGTAGCGTATGTTTATCAGCTCGCGACTGCTTCTGCGCAGAGCCGATAAGACGAGCGGACTAGACGACGGTGAGTTAAACAAGGTTTATGTACAGCATATTTACAGAGGCGTTACAATTTCGGCACTGGGGCCGACAGAGACTCGAAGAGCCGAGCTCTCCTCTCTAACACATAGATCAGCCTTTCGCCTAAGACCGCTGACTCACACACATGTCGGCTCTCCGACACGGGGACTCCCTTCTCGTAGGACCGCCGATCGCGACGCGCCGCAGGGCTTCTTTTATTTACACCGGGTCCAACCAAAATGTCCAATCAGAAGCGCCGCTGGTCGTCAGGGCAGATTCCGCCAATGGGGGTCGCCGCGCCATGCGTCAGACCACCAGACACGCGGACGCCGGCTCGCTGTCACGCGCGCAGCTGACTCAACGCACGTGGGCCAGGGAGGCGCCGCGCGTGTTCACTCCGTCGAGTTGATCGCGCCAGGCGACTGCGGGCTGGCCTTGACCCAGATTGCCTTTTTCAGAGGCACGGTCGTTTGACGAGGACTCGCTGGCATAACACCGTGCAGGGACACTTGCCGCACCCAAGCTTAGGGTGAAAGAGGTTGCCCATTCACTCAGATTCCCCCTGCTTGGGTGCCACAGGAGTCCCGGCACGTGTTTTGCGACAGTGCGGGTAGCACGTGGACAGGACCTTAAAGAATTTAAAGGGGCCAGGGTTGACTTTTAAGCCCTTATTGTACTGTTTAGCACCAGGGACATAGCCAAAACTTTTGACGAGTGGGGTAGGGGGGTCAACCCTTCATATGCATATTCCTGTGCGTGTTTGTATGTACGTGCATGTATACACATAAAAATGACCATTTTCGGAGGGGGTCGAGCGCCACTGATGTCTACGCTGGTGCTATAACCACTAACTCCGCTCTTACGGTTGAAGCGCACGAGCGAGACGCTGCACGTACCGTGGATCCTAGCGGTCGGCTTCAGTTGCTGCCGGAGGACGCTGACGTTGACGTACGCGGTGACAGCAGCATCCAGGGCGTTCAGGCCTTCCCACGGCGACGCACCGGCATGAGCTGATTTGCCTTTGAAGCGGACTGTCAGCTGTGGCGCGTTAAGTAATGAGAAGTAAATTTATGTAGACACCACACATTGTGGGTACCCTTTTATAGCCACGCAGTCGGCGAGTATATATAACTGCATATGCCGCATTTTAACGCGCTAGCATAGGCGTGCGCTCGAGGTGGGCAGGGGAGGGGGTTTCAAAGTTTGCTACGTACATTGATTAATTAAGAGAGGTGGCGCTGCAAAAAAGTTCACCCAACCCCCCTCTCTCTAAAAGGCGAAGGAGAGAAGAAAGGAAGCAGACAAAAGGAGAAGGCAGAGTGGTTAACCAGAAATACATCTAGTTGGCTACCCTGCAACATTAAAGGGGACAATAAAGGTGGAGGAGGAGAAAAAAGCAAAAGGGAAAGAGACACAGTGAATTCATCGCAGCACGTAGAAGTCCAGCGCAAGTTTTTCGGGTGGTAGCAAGGAGGCTTGAAAAATTTTCTTCGGTGAGAGGGTGGGCGTCAAGTATTTTATGCATGTTTTTGCGTGCGTTTGTATGTGGACGTGTATATATATATACGCAAGCAAAACTGGTGAACTTTGGAGAGAGTGTAAACACACCAACCCTTCCCCTCCCCCTCTTAGCTACGCCAGTGGTAGCAAGGGGAGTACTCTTAACACATGTAATATTGCCTGGAAGAGTCACCGAGTCGTGCAAGGCATCATAAGAAGAACGTTGTGCAACTAGTGGGTGTTTTAACAATCATTATCGGCAACAGTATCAAGAAAGTGTGCAGCTGCACAGGCGTGCGTAGCGCCTTACGCAGTCTGTACTTAAACAGTGGCTACTTCGCTAATTCTGAAAAGAATGAATTATATGTCATGGCTGGCTTTTCACCACTGTATTCAGTTTCTAGGTATGGGTTTTCATGACAAATTGAAAGCCCCGCCGTGGTGGTCTAGTTAGTGGCTAAAGTACTCGGCAGCTGACACGCAGGTCGCGGGCTCGAATCACGGCTGCGGCGGCTGCATTTGCGATGGAGGCAGAAATGTTGTAGGCCCATGTACTCAGATTTGGGTGCGCGTTAAAGAACCCCAGGGGGTCGAAATTTCCGGAGCCCTCCACTACGGCGTCTCTCATAGTCATATAGTCGCTTTGGGACGTTAAACCCCACATATCAATCAATAAATTAGGATAAATTGAAACGGCCAGTTCTGCGCGACCAGATGCTCCTCATTTCCATGCGACGCAGTTGAGTTGTGTACCGAGACATCAAGCGAGGCTGTCGATTGAAAAAACGACGCACATGGGGCCTGTATATGCGGTCCGTGCTTGTTGCGGCAGTGGAGAAACGTGTCGTCCGGGACGTTTTCCGTCAAGTTGGTTCCAACTTCAGATGTAACCAGGAAGGCGCCGGAGATGCGCTCGTGGGAGGAGTCGTCACGCACTTGGTGAGGCCATGAAACTCTCTTGCCACTCAAGTTGTTTGAATGTATGAAACATTCTAACACGACACCCGTCTGGCATGAAGCCTGCTGACTACAACGCGGCGAACTACTACAGGCCTGACCACACGTACCCGTTTCAGGTACCCGTTGTAGGTACCCTTTACCACGTGTCAGCGCGCGGCTTTTGCACGCGGCACCGCGCCCTCTCTCACAGTAACTAGAAGGCGGGGCGCCACGTCGAAAGACATGAGCTGACACGCTGCATGCAACACGTACGTACATGTGGTGGTCAGGCTTTCAGCGAACAACGAAAGATACACTTTGACCACTTTTACTTGTGTGTTTGTGGTTCAGCATCGTGCACTCACATGTTGCGTCGCGGCGAAGCCAATAGACACGACGTCGAATGGAGCAGGGTGCGCCATGATTGCCGCGTCTACTCCATTCAGGGCTCCCTTTCGTATCAACAGCTCCTTGCCGCAACGGTTTTCCTCAGCTGGCGTGCCCAGTACCACCACCTGGCGGGCGGCACAAGAGTTGCGAGAGTGAAGCCAGAGCCGAGTTAGACTGCGCGCAGGTGCAGTTTAGCCTGGCTGTGGCGAAGCTAAGCCCTTATAGATGGTTTCAGGGTTACAAACGTTGTGCCCGAAAAAAAACTTCCGGTCACCTTATTTATCAGCTCGTAAAGTCGAAACTGAAAGGACGTTTTCCCGTTTTTTCAAGGGTAACGATAATATTTTATTATGTTATTAGATAAAAAGAGCGTGCGTAATGTTCAAAGCAATCCCTTGTAGTTTTTATGTAGCTCAAAAAAACATTTATTTCAATATATGTTGCCAATTGATGGAAGGAAAGTGTAGAAAATCAGCGAGCTATTTTCTTTTTGCCCGCCTATGTTATTCAGAGATCACTTCCGGTGCACCAAACCAGAAGTCATCAAGGGTCTGTGTTTGTAGTGAAAGGGCCTATAAAGAAGGGGATAGATTGTGAAGGCAAAATCTATTTATGCATCATCAAATACAAAAAGTTAGCGTCGTTCTCAACACGAGTGATGAAAAAAAATTCACGCCACATCCACGGAATGAATGACGATAAGTGGGCGAAGCTCGAGATGTGGAGCTCATCGGTAAACCGTAACTCTCCCGTGAAAGGTTATCTCATTACATCATTAGGAAGACGTAGTACTGCGCGTAGACAGTTTCGCAGTTATACACCTATAGCAACAGCGCGAAAGTGCAAGACTTAGACCTTCTTTTAATTCTACATTCATTGTTAGCTGGATATACGCTCGCGGCGGACATGGTACAGACGAAAAGGGAGCGAGAGCATTTCGCACTACCACAGCAGGTGTTATCGCGACGTTAGTACCCTGTAGTAACGCAAGCCTGCATGCTATAAGCTATGAGTTCATTATCCAGAAAAAGCACACCGATGAATTGGCCTATATGGTTATGGCTCATGTCCATCACTCACTTCGTCTCGTAATGCGAAGCGCAATAAGAAATCTTGCCCCGAAAAAGCACAGCTTATGGGAAAGCCAGGGAGGAGGGGGGCAGAACCTCCCACTTTTTTCTTTTAGGGGTACATCGTGAACTTAGCAAGGGAGCGAGGGGTGTGAGTAAAAAAATTCGGACCCCACGACCTCTTCAATCATCATCATCATCACCTGAATACGCCCGCTGCAGGACGACGGGCCTCTCCGATGTTCCGCCCAAGCGTGTGCTTCCTGCTGCCCCTTTACACCCTCAAACTTCCTAATCTCATCTGCCCACCTATTGCCTACTCTTGGAATTGAGTCTGTAATCCTTAATGACCAGCGGTTATCTTGCCTTCGTGCTACATGCTCTTCCCATCACCATTTCTTCTTGATTTCGACTATGATCACTTTAACACCCGTTTGTTCCCTGATACATTCTGCTCTCTTCTTGTCCCACCGCGTTACACCTATTATATTCCTTTTCATTGCTCGCTGAATCAACTTCTCTATCACCACCCTTTGAATATGCCCGCCCACCAAAGATTCCTGAACAGTGTAACAATACGCATTTTTCGAAAAATTTCTGGTACACATATCTCTAGTGGTAGCGAGTTGAGTACACCTAATACAAAGCGTAATGATTCACATGTTGCCTCTATATGGTTGTGATAACAAAAAGAGGATTTCATACTTTCCCACGAATGTCCCTGTGGTTCTTCATGGCCTCTACGACAGCCAGAGCTGCGCCCACGGACGATTCGGCGATAAGGTTGTGCCCACAAGCGTGGCCTATATCGGGAAGTGCATCGTACTCGCACAGTAAGGCCACGCAAGGACCTGCATGTATAGATAAGATAACAGAGAAGGAAAGAATTCTTGAAGTGCAACGGGTAAACATAATGTGAGCACTAAAACAGCCCGTACGCCCGAACCACTTGAATCGTGTTACATACTTACCCATGGTGCTTACACGGGACCAAGAAAGAGAGGACATAAACGATGCTTTAACACAACGAGATTAGAGAATCACATGATTGTTTTTATTATTGTTTTTCTCACATGAGCATACTGATAATTTCGTCATAAGAATTCAGGGAGACATGGAGGAAGGAGTGGAACAACGATGTTGAAAACAACTATGGGAGAAGGCTAGGCGGTGAGTGGCAACACTGTTGTCCTGTCAAATAAAGGTACGCATTTGCATTCCAAGCAACGAGACGCCAAGATTAAGACTTCACTAAGATGTCTACTGAGACTGCGGTGATAGCCGACGGAAGTTGTAACAGCAAAACTGTCTATCGCGTTGAAATATAAGGAGAGTTCGCATTTAACAATCACTTGCACATTAAATTCTTTCGTAGTTTGGCTAAAGATTGACTGATGTGACCGCGTGTGCAGGATATATATTGGTATTAGAATAAATGTTCGGGCGAGCTTCTCCCTCCCATACTGTCTACTCCTTTTCTTTATCGTCCAAATATTGAGAAGCGTACACATTTGCGTGTTGTTGAACACATCTGAGTGTTCTTGTAATCACTGCTACAGCCAGGCAGGGGGCGGACTAGGGCGACTCAAACCATCCCCGAATTTTTTCAGTTTTGCACGTGTACAACACACACAAACGCACACACGAACTCACTGAACATAAATAGAACGCCCCCCCCCCCCCCCTTCGACACGAAACAATTTCTGGCTATGCCCCCAGTTCTTCACCTTTCTAACAAGAAGGCTATACGCTCGTTCTTGCTTTTGTCTGCTCTGTTTTTTTTTTCTTTGTTTGATGTGACTCTTTCTGAATTGAAGCCATTGTTAAACGTTGAAAATAATGTAGAACGCTTCGTTGTCATTTTTTAATCTATTTTTTGTTAACATTAATCGTTACATTTTCACTTGTCTACACCGTTCAACATAGCATACGGGGATAGTGTACCGTGAGCTAAGAGCTCTGCCCCTTTTCCTTTAAGTAGGCAATTTTCCCAATGTGCTTTTATTTACCCTATACTGCGCGAGCAGGTTCGATTGTATACCGGCGAGCTTCCTGATTTTATCGCTCCATCTAATCATTTACCACTCTCGGTTACGCCTCCTACCCCTTGCTGTCCATTCCGCATCTCTGTTTAACTTACCAATAGGTTATACGTCCTTCGTATTACTACTTAACCTACCAAAAGTCATATTGCCATGAGTTGCGCACGTCAGTTTGAGTGCGAAGATGCAAAAGCGATGAAGGGAATGACAGGCAACAAGATGAGAGTGAATGACAGTATTGTTTGTCGTTCTCGTCTTCGCTTTTCGCTATTCTCTTTATGCCGAAACAGAGCATGCGTCATTGCACTATGACATTATGACGCGCCAACATGCCCTGACCTGCCCTAGTACACTTTTTTATCGATGTCGCTGATTTCACTTTAAACGACTTGTTCCCGAATCCACTCTTCTTTCTTCGTGCAGGTTAATAGCTAATTGCGCTATCGGAAACTGAACAACATGTAGTCCGCCAAAACAGCCGACGAGAAAGAAAGGCGACGGCTAATCATACACACATTGTGTAAAGAGATATTATTGCGTAATCCCATTCTTAAATAATGAATGGTAATCTGCCACTAGCACTCAAGAAGAAGATATATAACAGCTGCATGCCGGCACTTATTGACGGAACAGAAACCTGGAAGCTTACAAAGAAGGTTCAGCTTAAATTGAGGATGACGCAGCGAGCGATGGAAAGGAAAATGATAGGTGTAACCTTGCGAGACAAGAAGGGAGCAGAGTGGGTCAGGAAACAAATTGTGGTTAAGGGTATCATAGTTGAAATCAAAGTGAAGAAATGAGCATGGGCTGGGCACGTAGCACGAAGGCAGGATAACCGTTGGCCATTAAGGGTAACTGACTGGGTCCCCATAGAAGGCAAACGCATTAAGGGGAGACAGAAAGTCAGCTGGGCCGATGAGACTAAAAAGTTCGCAGGGATAACGTGGCAGCAGAAAGCGCAAGATCGGGTTCATTGGTGGATCATGAGAGAGGCCTTTGCCCAGCAGTGGGCGTAGTCAGGCTAATGAAGATGATGATTACGCATTTAAAATACACGGAGGAATTTCTTCAATTCATTACGTTTCTTCATTCACAGATCATGGTGATGTAGATTGAGTAGCTCTCCCACCGCTGCCTTATAACAGAAAAACACATTTCAGCTCTATACAGAAATATATAGAACGAAAAGCATTGTTGAAGTATACGGAACTAGTTTCACTTCTCTAAATAGTAGACAAGAGACTAGACTGCTTCTGAGCATTCGAGGTTTTGCTTCGTTGCACCTTCATCATAACCAACACATTTTCCCTCTTTTTCAAACCCCTTCCTTTTGCGTAACTCTGAGTAGCAAGTCAGACAATTATTTCAGGCCGACCACTCACCTTTACTGTCTCGATATGACATCATACGTCAATAGCTAGACGTTCATTAAGAAACCTCGTTCTTGTCTAGTTGATTTCCGCGTTTCAAGCATCAACACAGAATGCGCGTTATTGGATCAGCCTCGAAATAGAATTCTTATGTAATCCCAGGCCCATCGGTTCTACCTTCTGGAGCAGAACCAAAAGGTGGGGTAGTTGTAACTTATCATTCGTTATCCTGCACTTGTCCCGATTCACTCTGGGGCACTGTCTGCCGTGCGCTACCCAGGAATGGTCTATACCTTCTGGCCCTCCTGGAGCGTCGAACTCTGCCCTGAATGCAGTATCCAGAAGGTAGCGACGGGTCACGGTGAAGCCGCGTCGTTCCAGGAAATCCGAGAGCCAGTCGTGGCATTGCACCTCCTTGAAGGCGAGCTCCGGATGCTCCCACACGAAGCGACTCAGTCCCCGCAGATCCTGCGAGTTCGCCTCGACAGCGCTGTGCACGAACTCCTTGAGGTCCGGGGCCATCTCTCTGTCTGAGATGTCTAAGAAGAGACTGAGAAGAACGTTTGCTTCGGCGCAAGTGGTTGCTGAAGGTGCTCGATCTCTTAATCTGAGCGAGGGATCCCTTTGCCTTAAAAGAAGTCGTTATCGCGTGCAACCTCCTGTATAAACAGTCAGACGGCAAATGTCTTCGCTACTCTCAGGTGACAGGTCTTAGCCCACACCTTAAGGAATGCGTATACTGCAGAGGGAAGATTCACCATCAAGAGAGATCACTAATGGGTAGTTAAGGCAAGCTGCAAGTGCTCTAAGATATCCAGGGGTCCTGCAAGGTTTCTTTGGAGACAAGGCCATACCGAGGATTTTTTTCCCGGTGTTAATGTGTAGACCAGCTTACTTCGGCAACTGATAGTATATGTGACGGCGTGTATATGCTTTAGTATCACCGGACAAGTTAAAGCACTAGAAAACGTCGGGGGCCGTCAGAACACCCTCAACGACCTCCTAAATACGGCCCTCTTTGGAGACAGTCCACGGGCCTTGAGAGATACGATCGCGGCAATCTCTTTGAGCTTAAGTGCGAAAAACCCTAGTGCTCGAATATACGTTTTTGTTGGATTTTCTCGAGATGTCTTCATTGTCGGCGATCTCTTCCCTTGCCTGGGACGGCTGTTATCATATTACCAGCAGCTCCGGCTCCAACAACAAAATGAACGGAGTCCTTCACGAGGCGTGGAGAAGTCAACGTCCTTGTAACTATCTGCGGACCAAAGGCCTTATCGGCCATCGTAGCAAAAGGAAAAGAAAGATTGTACATGAGTGAGTTGTAAGTGCTCCCACCTGACAGCTCTTCGCAATTTGCGTTGACTTCTACAGGTGTGCCCGGAATATAAAACGTCCGGAATGCTCACGACTAGCTTGGCGTTAAGAACAATAAGAAGGAAACGCTTTCTTGACAAACTACCATATGATGTATTTTCTGTTAAACATGCATGGATATTAACCGTCGTTGCTGTTGTTAAATTTGATGATATTCGCACAAATTATAGCCGAATAAAAGACACCACCAACAAACTAACGGGAGTTAACGCGACCGCGCTAGAGAGCTCGTTCCGAAGAAATTCTGGCGTCGGTGTTAGCGCCGTTGGTTGCGAGCCAAAAATTATCACTTTTGCGTGACCGAAAACTTTAGAAACGTGCAGATAAAATAAATAATAAAAAATCTAGGTGTGAGGGACATAGGTTGGCAAAATAAATGATGCTAATTTAGTCTCACTCAATAAATTAATTTTTTGCTCTGCAGTCATTCGGACTCAGACCCACAGAATTTCTCCGCAACGAAAGTCACCCAGACTCTGACTCACCAATGTTTTTTTTTTTTCAACCGGACTCGCTCAAACTCAGACTGACTAAACTTTTCCTCGAATGTACTCATTCGGACTCAGACTCACCTAAATTTTCCTCAGCCGGACTCACTCTGACCTGGGCTCTCACAATTGGCCGATCCAGAGGAGGGGGGTGGTAGGCGCGATCGTCCCCCCCCCCCAAATCTCTCAGTGCCCCTCCCCCTCAATTCAGTGCTCGTAGTCCACCACCTATCACCAATTATTCAGGACAAATGAGTGAATTAAACCACTGTTAGCACACTATGTATAGCAGTATTCGTGCTATGACATGGCTTTTCTGCTAGTAAAAAAAACAAAAAAGTCATGACCGCGCCCCCGTCTACGGTGTTACTTTAGATTACCACTTCCCACGCTACTAAAATGAGAGGCTAGATCCGCCCTTGTCTCCCACCCAAAATTTGTGACAACCTTTAGTCTCCTTTCAATCGTTTCGGTAAGAGGGAGGGGGGGGGGGCGGTAGGTGCTATGTACGGCGGGTAGTGGGGATGCTGGTAAAGCTTGCCGCAATGGGTTTAGCAAAGCTCCTCTGGGTAAAGGATTTCTCCACTGGGTGAAGGATCTTCTCTTTTCTTCTCGCTTTTCTATGTCCATGCGTTTTCATGACTCTCAGCTAAGCTTTGCTTTGTGCTCACCGCCTATAAGTGAGGTTGATCTTAGCGAACCCCACTAGCCTCCCAAATCAGTTGCTGCAAGCTTCTCTTGAAAAGCAACCCCATACGAGCATATTCACAGTCATTCTCGTGAGGAAAAATATTCGAAATGACCATTCTCGGGCAAGAATACAAACATTTCTGTGGCAGGCCCCACGCCTCTACGAGGTCGAGCTCGTTGCTTCATTGTGTACTTTGCCTGTATTCCTTGGAGTCTACAAAGAGCACGCAACCTTAGGTACGAGAAACTTGAGACTGGGAAACCTTGCTGGTGTCATCAAGCTTTGCTGGGTGTGGACTGGACAAACACAATGATGGGTGAGGAACCACCAAAAGTGCTTCGGCGTGTGAACGCTGGCTATGAATGAAAAGTTGTTTGAAGACGAAAGAAAAAGCCTACGAAAAAGAAAGCGAGTGTTGATATGTTGTGTTGACACAGACCAAACAGCAGACATGCTGGAAAAATATGGCAGCAATGTCTCTGAAAGAAAGCACGGAATGCAAAAAGGTCAATAAATTTTACAAGCTCCACGAACTGCCGAAAGACAACAGAATTCGTTGACCACATTACAGCGGAAAGAAATTTATTTTCGCTATTGATGAAGCGTCACGTATTGTATAAACAGCGCTTTTCTTCCCCCTTCCTTCTCGAAATATCCCAGCGACAAATGTCAAGGCACCACGGGAGCAAGCTACATCAAGCAACCCTGAATAACGTAGCCGCTGTATAATTGGTAGCAAATGACATGACAAAAGTCGACTGTGTCGTCACTATATTCAGCGATATGGTGCATAGCTAACGGGAATAGTTTGAGAGCGAAACAAGTCATTCGCAAGCGCTCGTCTTTTCTCTCGTTGTAATGAATCACTCATGCAAAAACCGAAGTGGCATCCGAGGGCACTATACCGGTTCAACGCATCAGAGAGCGAAGGGGGCCCTCGATTCTCCCGAATTGTGCTTCACTGTATTTTAAGCCACACGAATAACGTAGCTGAAATATTTCACGCATTCTCCTTTGACTATGTACGTACTGGAAGATAAATCTGAATTTGAATTACTGTGTGACTTAACAAAAGTGGCCTGGACTTGCACAAATTTCAGAACATGTTGCACTGCTCATTTCCATACCCGTGTATTGCCATGCACATTTCAAATGGTTGCGAGTTAGACTAGAGACGCAATAATGGAATGATAAAGAATAATTCTGTTTTCACAGTCCTTAGCACTGTGCTTCGCTATGCGTTGTTCTTTTTTCCGTGGAAAGTTTACGCCAGTGTTCTAGCCGGCATTAGCATAAGTTGCTAGTACTTCGCCATATTCTGTGAACGGTGTACTCACAAACACAACACCCCCTATAATTAAAGCTGCTAGCAGTGCATTGAATAAAAATCACTACTACATGGCCAAACATTACGGGTTTCATAAGCAGAGTCTTCTTATGTCTCGGTGGAAATTCAAAACTTTAAACTTTGACACCTAGCAATCGAACCGCCATGAGCGGAATTAATTCTGTGACGTAATACTGTGCAGGAAATTGCATGATGTGCGCTTTGGAAGTATGCAACATACAATGCATTTTATTTTAGAGGTGCTATTTTATCAATATTTCTGATTACATCGTGTTTCCCTACAAGCAGCTTTTTCATGTTGGCGATTCTTCTTATAGTGATAAGATTTCACATAATCAGCGCATTTTGTGGCGCCTATTGGTTCCGTGCTTTTGATTAAACTATCAGTGGCTGTTCTGAAACGATATTATTATTATAATTATTATTCAAAAATGAGAGTGATTTTGCATGCCATTACCCGTGAAATGAGTTCCACAGGTGTGGGAAAATAGACAGTTTTATCATTTAAAAATTGATTTTGCTTCTACATAAGCTGAGCTGAAACATCTATACGATTACAGTGCATGCCACAGTGGTAGTCTAGATTATTTCTTACATACAAGTCGGCAAAATCAGTGTAGCCCACTCAGACTTCTTCAATAAATGGACCCAGACTGACCTACGTTTCTCTGAAGCAGACTCCCTCAGGCTCGCACTTACAGAGGTTTTCTTCAACGGGACCTAGCACGGAGTCATACTAACAAAACGTTTGCTCACTTCGGACTCACTTAAGTATAGCTCAGCCAGACTTAGACTCACCCAAACTTTTCCTCGAGATAACTCAGTAGTACTTGAACTCACCTAATTATAACTTAGCCGGACTCACAGGGACTTAGATTCACCGAAGTATATGCAACTTGGCCGTACTCACTCGAGCTCAGACCCAAGTGGTGTCACTCGGAATCAGACTTACGCCTCAATCTGAGCCCGAGTGAATCGACTGATGAATGAGTTGGCCAACCTATGGAAGGTGGGGATTCAACCCGGGTCGTTTGCGCGGCAAAAAGGTGTCCTACCAGGCAGACACGCATTTACTTGTGAATACAGTGAAAATAACTTTCCCTGCCTGGAAATAGAGTGAAAGTAACTTGCATGCTTTACAAACACACGCGCCCTCTATAAATAAATAAACAAACCAACAAATAAATAAATACACAAAACAAGACATTTAGAAGCAGCACTTGTTCATCGAACAGAATAGTAGTATTGACAAATGGCGTCGTAACGGTGGTACCGGATAAGCGCTGAGACAAAAGAACGCCATCTTCTCAGCTTGAATGGTGCATACTCAAGTAGTATACTCAAGTAGCTGACCCGCAGGTTGCGGGATCAAATCCCGGCTGCGGCGGCTGCATTTCCGATGGAGGCGAAAATGTTGTACGCCCGTGTGCTCAGATTTGGGTGCGCCTTAAAGAACCCCAGGTGGCCAAAATTTTCGGAGCCCTCCACTACGGCGTCTTTCATAATCATATGGTGGTTTTGGGATGTTAAACCCTATATATATATATATATATATATATATATATATATTGTAATGAATTAATGAATCTGAGTAACGGACGCTCTGCTGGCAACGAAGAAGACGATGATGATCGGTGGCTGCAGTAGTAGCTCGCGCACGCCGCTCGCCATTAGCCAGACCTGCCTGATAAAGGACATTTTGCCAAGCTACGTCTGAACCCTTCTCGACGTACAACACCTCTATTTTAAGTGGTGGAGGTGCTGGGTAGCGTCCGATTGCGAAGTTCCAGGTTGATGGAACCCCGGTCATTACCACCCCGTCGCCGATCTGTCTCCCCGATGCTTCGGCGCACGAGCCCCGCTCGAGAGGAAAACTGACAGCCGCAGTTCCGGAGGCAAGAACTGCGTCGTCGTCGAACTTTCTAAGGCCTCCTCTTTGTCCGACCAACTAAATTGATGTGCTAGTAGAAGGTGTTGCTGTACGTGCACTTGTCGACACAG